AAGGTCATTGTTGCCATCCAGGGTCACATTGACGCGGCACTCCCGCTACTTGTGCCCGTGGCCCTGTCGCCCTTCATCACCATTATGCTGTGGCCGATTATGATCATCGGGTCTTGCCTGATCAGCCAATATCAGCGCCGAGAATACATGGGGATGCTGCGGACGAAAACCCATGTCGATTCCTCGCAAGTGAGCGAGGCTGCAAAGCTTTTGGAGTATTTGTGGGAGGATCCAGATGAGCGCGCCTTTGGACCCTTTGGGCTGCACTTTGTCATGAGAAAACGTGACATCAATTTCAGCATGGCCTGAAAGTCGTATCGCTGATGCAACGCACGCCCTGTCGAGATAGAAGCGAGGCGCTGAAGGCATCCATGACCTCATTCGAGTGTGGGAAGCTGGAGGAGGTCGGGGGCCAGGCAACACAGCGTGTCCAGCCGTTCCAGCCAAATCAGAAGGCAGAAGCGAAGCGTGGTTAGCACCGTGGGGGGGTCAATGCTTTCGTGCAGCCTGCAGCTGTGCACAGTAAGTAGTTGGACACCAATGATGTAGACGCAACAGCAACACGAGATCTGTCGCCAATGACTCACTCACTCGTATCCCCATCGCGCCCAGTCCTGGTAGGTAATATGTACGAGGTACCGTGGTACCTTTCCTAGACATTGTCAGATGGGAAAGGTGGTGAACCCCCCACGCTAGAAAGGCAACCAGAAGTTTTAGAACCAAACCTCGGCTCCAAGAAATCTCAAACCGAGAATGCGGCTCTGTAGTCCCATGTGAGAGATACCATGCATATTCTTTCTTTCTAGAGGAAGCGGGAGAATCAGGCAACAAGATCTTTTGTCCATCTTGGCGGCGGTTCGCATTCGCATTCGCATTATTCGAGTCAGAAATTCCCCTTTCCCTTAGCTCCTTCCCTCCTTCTTCCCTAAACTCCGTGCCTGACCGCACCTGCCCATGCATGTGCCAGCTGCCCTCCCGATTGGTCGCCACGAGATGTGATTTGTCAAATTCCTGTTTCTTGGGATGTCGGAGGTGGCCGACCAAAGACTTGAAACGACGACTTGGAATTGCCCTGCTTTGCTGTATTTTATTTTGCTTTGCTTTGCTTTGCCCTGGTGCAACTGAATGATTGTCCGTCCGTCGGTCATTCAGTCAAGTCAATGCCAGTGCCGCGTCTTGTACTCAGCACATGGTCAGCAATTGTAGTCTTGACTGCCTAGATAGGTAGGTAAGTAGGTACTAGAGAGCTATCTATCTATATGAATATCTCGTCTTCATTTTCCCACCTCTTTGGTCCTTTATCTTCGCCTGCGTCTTCTTATTCTTCCAAGATATATTCTTCGAGTTAGAACCTTGTCTACGACCGACCGACCGATCAAGCTTGTGTGGATTGCAACCTGAGGCGATTTATTATCAATTAATCCCCAGCCAGCAACAACACATTCTCTTCGCACAATACAAGATAACAACCACCGCAAACCCATCCCAACAGAATCATATATGCCCGCCGAGAGTCTAGACAGCCTCATCATCTCCCCCGACGACTTCCAGCGCTATAATGGCCACCACGCCTTGCACACTCTCGAACTCCCCCGCCCTCCAGGTGACGAGTCCACTCTCCGTGTCGACCCCAAAGCGACTCCTGATGATATCGCCCAATGGCTCCAGCGACCATGCACAAACCAATACAACACGAACAATAATGGCACCATGAAGATTCTGCTGATCCAAACTCATAACCAGTCGACTGCCAAACGGGCCCCAAGCATTTTGTCAAACCCTATGACTTTGTCCCAACGACCATCCGAGCCTCAGACCTCTCAACACCAGAAACAGGCCGAGTTCGTCATTGAGATCCTCAACAACCTCGACCTTCCACTGGCAGCGTTCGGATCATATTTGAAGGCCCATTTGACTTTTGTTTGTGTCCCGTCCTTTTCGTCCCATTCTCAATCTGATAATGATGCAAGAAATACATCGACAGCCTACTATTGTAGTGGGACTAGTTGGACAGTGACGTGGACTCACAACCTTGCAAACAGACATACCGCAGCTGTCATGTGGTATCGGGAAGGCGACGGGGACCAGCGAAAGAATGAGGTCCTTGCAGACCTTCTCCGTCTGCAAACTCACCTGTCACATCCAATGCTGCTAGGCTATGTGAAGACCAAAGTGTCCTTGAGCTTCACCTTCGATATGTTGGACGACATGAATCGCGAGACTCTTACTCTAGAACAAGAAATCGGATTCCCCACGTGGAATTGGGTGCTTGATCGTGTCGAACCAGGACGTGGTGTTTCCGAAACTCAAGACCTCGCTGTCGAAGGGTTCAATATCCTTTCCGGCAAGCTTACAAATATCAGGTTTCGTCTCAAGACCTTCCAACAACAAATCAAATTCATTTCACGATGTAACAATCAATATCGACAGTCACTCGACCCAACAGGACCGAATTTTCACTCAGCTTGGCGAGAATGTGAAGAACTGGACCATTTCATGAATGTCATGTGGGACTATACATTCATTCACCTGTTCGACGCCGACTCCTTGGGGGAAAGACTTCACAATGCCATGGCCTCTGTCTTTCAATTGACCACGCAACGGGATTCTCGCGCGAGTCTCGCAGTCGCTGACATCAACAATGAGCTCGCATGGCAAGGGAAGAATACCAACAAGGCAATGAGGACAATTGCTTTTGTATCTTTGCTCTTCCTGCCTGGAACGTTTGTCGCTTCCTTCTTTGACACTCCAATTTTCAATTTTGCTATGCCGCCAAATCACCAACAGATTATCGTGCCTCTACCATTTACCATATACTGGACGGTGAGTATTGTCTTGACGTTGGGTTTGGTATTAGTGTGGATCAGCTATCTTCGACGCAGTAAAGAGATCGATCGGCGTGAACGCGAGATTGAAAGACAACAGTTTCATGAGCGGATCAGGAGACGGCAACCAGGTGGTCCTGCTGCTATGTTGTTAGAGGGTAGAACTGTCAGCAATACCAGCTACAAGCCTTTTGAAAGGCGATCAGCTTGGGAACTCTTGACGAGGCACAGGACTCGCGATGACCAAACATCGAGAATCGGGATGAGAGGTCGGAAAGTCCCAGAGGAGCTGTATGGAATCCCACTAATGCGGCAGTCATACCAATCGCCCGAAGTCGGTATTGGGCCAATGAAACCGGCCTATCTCAGCCCCAAGGGACACAAGGAAGGCAGCTGGCTGTCGGCAGTGTGAGAGTCGAACTATTGATTCGGGAATTGTGGGAGTTCTGCTAGGTCAAATGTTGGCGAATGGCGTTTACCAGTGTGTTGTCTCATATTTTGGGGATATCCATCATGAGTGTTGATGATGATTGATGATGATGAGCCTGTTCTGATAGTCAATGAGCAATGGAGACTTTGAACGAGACTGTGTGACTGCTTTGTGTCGCTCATCTCTGTACCTGCCAAGCTCCCCGCCAAGTCTTTGCCAAGCCTGTGGACCTGAATGACGAGGCTGAACAGCTTCAATTTCCCCCTTTTTGTCTTTCTGGCGTCATGACTTTCCAGCTTCCACAATTTTCCATCCACAAAACGCTGCAGCAGGCACGGGCCAGCAACTGAAAGTCCGCAGTACCCACCTTCGTTTTGCTAATCCCATGTCTTCTCTTGCGGCGACGAAGCGGATTCTCATACAGCCTGTTTCAAGGAGCGACCAGGAACGAACCACAATCTATGCCCCTGGTCCCCCCAGCCGGTTCTTAGGCAACCTCACCTACCTACCAGGTACCCGTACTGGGTAAGAGTATGAGTACCGAGTTCTTGCAATCAGGGTAATCCGCCACACATCCATGCACCCATGATATGTCTCAACCCATTGATTTCAGAATGCTACTTCGGTGGTTATCTCAGCAACATCATGTTGAAGGGGGACCTGCTTCAGGGTTGTGGACGTACCCGAAATTACCATATCTAGTAATCCAACGTCTGATACAAGCAATTCAGTCTGCATGGATTCTTTCGTGTCCTCTCTACCTTCGAAGAAACGGGAGACCGCATGGCATGACGGTATGTTTGCTACGGTGAGTCCCATGCCGGCTCTCACCGCTGCCCATTTCCACCAGGTACCTTGGTCTGTGTTGGTTCACATGATGCCCTACATCTTTCTTGCACATTCCTGATTGAAACGGCTCTCCAACTCCGCATCGTGGGCCCACTTCATCATGACGTCCTATTATTGTTTTGACGGGATTGAAGTCCAGGAAGCGGGGGAAGTACCCTCGTTCCCCGGGCTAAACCTCCATGTTCCGAAGCCTGCCCTTGTCAAGGCTGTGCTCTGACCGATCGCCGGGGTCCTAATAATGTTAGATCGCACTAGCACGACAGATCTAGATGTTCTGGGCCTCACGAATCGAGCAATCACGTCGTCACGACCTCCAAGAAACCTTTCCTCTCCGCAGGGATCCGTTACACTGATAGCCTGTTCCTGAAGAAAACAAGCCTCGCTTCATTGGGACTGAAAGTTGGATCTCACCGCTCTGATTTTGAGATCGAAGATCGATCTGCATAGTGATCAGGCACCAGCCCGAGGGCTGGGGAAGGACATGGACCAGGTCAGCACGCACGGACAGGAGCGTCCCCTCGAAAGAAAGACAGGAAAAAACCGATGATTCATCAAGACACGGTTTCAGACAAGTTTCTCTCATGGGCGCAGCTGAAGTGATGACGAGGGAAGAATACTAGGTAAGACGAAGAGCAAACGAACCAGGAACCTTCACCAACGTCACCATGGGATGATGCATTGGTAGAGGCACACAGACCATCATCAGATCCTGGATTGGGGGACCTGACTAGCGAAGACGGACGACATTTTTGTCTATATAAACAGTGCTTCTCTCCCGAATTCAGAACAAATTCTCATCATCCATTCACCATCAGTACCATCTTCGCAACAGCAAACCAAATCCCCAATCTCACAACCCAACAAATATCTCAATCCAAAACCAAAAGACTATCAACATGTCTGACTACAAGCCCACTGGTACGAGTTACCCCCATCCCCTACCAAGACTCTCCATCAATGGACATTCAACATTCCTTTCCCTTTCCCCGGGCCCCTCTCTGCATCCACGCCGTGTAGCAGGGGGACTCGGATATCACTTCCACATCCACATTTCCACTTCTCCTATACACTCTCTTTCCCCCCTTCTCCACTCCGAAGGGTTTCAGCTGCTCCAGTCCTCCCACCCCCCATTCTCATCTCCATCTCACCTGTATCCATGACCCTTGTGTGTGAAAACGAAAACTAACCCTCTCCCCTTCGGAAATGTACAGAGCACGACGGTCTCCGCAAGGACGGCCAACCCGACCAGCGCGTCAACCAACCGGGCTTCGCGCACGGCAAAGTCGACCCCGTCGAGGCCGGCAAGAAGGGTGGCCATTCCTCCGGCGGTGGCACCTCGGACTCGTCCAGCTCCAGCGGTGGGAGTAGCGAGAACCCCCAGGGTGCGGCGCACTTGGGCGGTGAAGGCTTGAGGAAGGATGGTGAACCAGACCAGCGTCTGAAGATGAATCAGGACTCTTAGACGGGGTCATTCTCTCCAACAAGAAGATGGGAATCGTGAATACTGCAGCATGCATGGAAGGATGGGTTTGGAAGGAACTATGATCTGAATTCGTCTGTACTGGCTTGTTATCATCCATAACAGTATACACCTGTCTCAGTCAAGCATCAATAGGTAGTTATTTCTAGTGCAAGCTATATTCATGATTTCCATAATCTAAGCCTTGTTGAATTTTTTTTCTTGCACACATAACTATTTTACATCATCTGCCCTTCGTCTGATGTATGGAGTAACATAAAACACGATAACTGAGGTTGTGGATTATTGAGAAGCAAATATTTAGTTGTCGTGGTAAATTACATATCGAAACTGGTGCCTCGTCCAATGTAGCCATCACAATTCATGTCCCCGAGGCCTTTCTCATGTTCGTTTCCCGTAGGTGCCTCGTCCTATTATACCTGTACTTCCATCAATGTCCTCTTGTAATCTTAGCCGACCATCTAGCGCCATTGCTAAAACTTTCAAGTCTATCTGTCATGCATTTTCATCCATCCTGCATATACCAGTCGAAACGTCGCCTCCTTGGACAGCGTGCCGCCAGGTAAGGTAGAAATACGCTCAAAACAAGCAAGTCATGACTCATATCCGAGTCTGACACAGGAAGTTGGTTCATTCACCTAGGTGCCGGTGTAATCCTGAGGAGCTGTGTTCGCAAACACATAGTTTTTGGGCTTCTGTTGAGCCAGCTGTTGAGCAACATGTGCATGTTCCTCTCTTTGATTTGGAAACTCTTGAATATAGAACTCCGTTTTCTTCTGTTCAACGTGGGACGCATAGTCAACTTCAGACTTGTTGTCCGATGGCAGGACAAATTGTTGAAACTGGCCATTGAGTCCATCACATTGATGTGGAAACCCGATCGAAGCAATTTGAGACACGGAGAATGACGACACTTCTGGCGATGTCAAAGGGGCATCCGACCAACTGCTGTTGGTGAGTGGTCCAGCTGAGTAAGGAGGTGTGTAGTCAGTGAATGCCGCGTATTGCGGAGGGGCAGAGGTCGGGGGAATGAGAGACTGCTGCGATTGGGCTCTGTTCATGAAAGCTGCCATCATTGGTGTCACTGGAGGCGATGCTGTTGCAATCGAAAGAGTTTGAGGCGGCCGCATGGAATATTGGCTGGGCATGTCCATGGCTTGTGCAAAGAACGGGTTCTTCTCCGGATCCATCCCGTAACCGGTCGAGACGTGGTCAGGCGACAACAACGGTTCTGACAAGTCTCCAAGAGATGGTGTTCCCATTGTTTGCTGAGCCATCAATTGGTTAAAAGCCTCAGCTTCAGCAAAAGTTGCAGCACACATGGGCGACCTTTGAGCCGAACTGGCTTTTCGGATTCCTGCATACCTTGAGTGAAGGCTTTGACCGGCCGACTTGACATGTCGGACGCTATGTGTTCCTTGAGGGCTCATGACACCCTGGCGAAATGTCGGGGATGCCGATGTCATCGCTCCGTAGGACCGGCTTCGAAGGGAGGCCGATGTCAGTGCTGCTGGCCGGGGTCTCTTTCTTCGCGCGGCGATGTCAAGAGGTCCACTTTGCGGAGGACAGATCGCTTCTGACACCCGCTGGTCTGCCAGCAGGCCGGGTGCATCATTTGCAAGAGCAAAGTGACTAAAGTTGTTCGAGAGATCCTCCGTGGTTGATGGACGCCGCGAGCCAGGATATGAAGGCATAGTCAAACCTGGGGAGGGCAGTGCCGTCACAGGACTCTGGTGACTGTGCATGCCTTTCGGCGTAGCAAGGGACTCGCGGAAATCTTCGGGTGTTACTACAAAAGAATCTTGCCCATATTCGGCCACTTGATTAATGGAGTTTGGATCTTGAACCAGATTCTGTTCCGTCACGTCGCTGTCGAAGCCAAAATCGAAGGACGTGTCCTGAAAGGTGATCGGAGAGGGATACGGGACGGTTCTAGGAGACCGATTTGACCAGGTTGGCATATTAGATGTCGATGAAGTGGTGCGTGGGTCGTTTAGTCGAATGGGGAGCTGCATAGGTGCAGCTTGTGCTGGAATCTCCAGGGATGGCACAGCAGCAGGGGGCGGCTGAGCCACTGGCTGGCTTTGTGCTGCTTTGGCCTGCCCCAGTGCACGTTGCAACGAGTTCCAACTGGCCTCTTTCGGGTTGTCGACGACCTTTATCGGTGAAGGTGATGTGTGAGCAGTAGAAACTGATGCCGCAACCGAGACAGCGCTCGACTCCTTCACAGGTGAAGCAACAGATGATCTGGGAGAGATAATGTCCCGCGCCGAGGAGGCTTCAGTCAGAACGAGATCTTTCCCCTCCTTCGAGCCAGACTTCACCGCTGCATGCTGGGCTTCGTATTCTTCTTGCCTTTTCTGTTGCTTGGCCTTCGCTCGACGATTTTGGAACCAGTTCTATAAGCCGGTTAGCTGACAATCTACGCACACAATATAATTAGGACATACCCCAACCCGAGTCAGTTTCAAGTTTGTCTGAATAGCCAATTCTCTCTTCAACTGTGAGCTAGGTTTGTGATTCGCCTGGAAATGGGTTTCGAGGATCTCAGCTTGTTCCTTGGTGAGTCTTGGGCGCGTAGAGATCTCCTGGGACTCTCCAAAATCATCCTGCATCATCCCTGCATCCCCGAAATCGGCATACTCCGCTCCACCATAGGGCATATAAAAGTCGTCCACAGGCTGTTGAGCATGGGCCATGAAGGCTTGGTACTGGACATGGGGGTATATGAACTGTGACTGAGGTTGCGAGGCAAAGCTAAATGTATTTTGCTGCATGTAGTCCATGTTGAGCGCCGGTGATGATTGATAGGTTAACACGGGGTTTCTTCGCATAGAGTCCTCGGCAGGGAGCAGAAGACCGTCTGCTTGAGTTGGAAAGCTGCTGCCTCGTTCCGCTAAGTAGCTTTTCTCTTTGCGAGCAACAGAGGCCGCAACTAGTCCGTGCGTAGTACTAGGCTCGAGGTGGTGAGGGAATTGATCAGACATGCAGCATCTCAGTCGACGAGTAAAGGATGAAGTCGGTCGGGTTGAGGAATCTGCTAGGGTTCGAGATCAATGGGAATGTTGGACCGTCTGACAAGGTAAGGAACGACTTAGGGTGAGAGACGGTGAGGGAAACGAGGTTTTCCAGCAGTATGTGAAGAGAAGGAACGGATAGGTAAGTCCAGCAGAGGGAGGAACGATGCGAATGTCGCGGTCGGTTGCTCGGATTGAGGCCTGCTGTCGACAAGAGCGCCGCAGTGAGGATGGAGGCGGTCCAGCTGTGGTACAGGTCAGGACAGAGCTGTAGATAGATAGGCTCGATAGAAGTAGACCAAGAGGAGCAAGACAAGTGGGCGGACTCGGGGGATTTTTAGATTTAGAGGCGGCGGTCGCGAGGGATCAAGCGAAAGGTACGGAGGGTACGTCGCACCCTTTAACGAGGTTCCAAGACTGGGGGAGATAGGAAATTCTGAACCCAGGCGCCGAAGGGGGGCGTTTTGAAGTTCAATGAGATGGTGACGGGAGAGTGACCCGGAGAAATAGCTGAAGCAATCGAAGAGGATGTCTTGATCGCCCTTCGCCCAGCACACAACAAAAAACAAAATGTCTGTGACCATCCAAAGCGCGCTTTGGATCTTTTGATCAATCGCGACGTGGGAGAGAGTGAGAGACTCACTTTCTCGCAGAGCAACAAGAGACAAGCAAGCCAATTCCCCACCGCAGAGAATCGCAGTGGAGGATCCAGCGCAGTCAAGCTACTTGGTGGACGACAGGGGCGTCAGGGGATCCATGAAAGCGGAGACGAGCCAGTCAGCCACGGCGGAACCCATTGCGGGTGGAGCTGCAGGCTAGCCCTCGACCATCAAGGTTCCTGGTTGCCCCTACATGCAGGAGCGTCAAGGTTAAACATTTTGTGAGAGTTGCAGGTGTGTTGAGGGTTGATGGGGGGATGGTTTGCATGGAGGGGAAAGAATAGGCGCTGGGAAGGGGACCAGACCAACAGGTGAAAGAAGGGACTTGTAGGCAAAGTCGACTTCCCCCTCTTCCAGACGCAGGCTGCAAACCTGGCCTGCGGAACGAAGCGCCCTCGGAAAAGGGATCAGTCACTGAGAGTCGACCACTGAAACCACGTCAGAAAGGCGACTTCGCACCCCTCCCTCGGCTGTTCTTCCCTAAATCCAAGTACCGAGCACCTACAGACAGACACTCGTACCTCCGGGATACCATCTGCGCAGTCCACTCATCAAACCTACTCCCACACCCAAACAGATTGACGCTCGTCACTCCCGCGCTTCTGTCTTTGTATCCCATGTTCTTTTGCTTTGATTTGTTTTTTGGGCTTGAGTTCTCGACCTGCGTTGACTTTTCGATAGTGCCGCCTCGTCCCGGGGAATGGGAACGTTGACAGAGATCCCTGCGAGCCCTGGTCTGACCTGGTCGGCGCCAATGCAGGAACCGTATCGACAACAAGGAATCCCCATGCTCAAGCCCAGCCAGTCTGCGGCTGTAATTTGAGCCCAGGCTAAGTAATCATGCTCCACCTAGTGGTCCCTTTGGTCCCGTCAGGCACTGTTCGCTCCTCAAACACCCTGGCCTCTGTCTGGCCAACTTTTTCATCCGGTCTAACCCGTTCTGCCCCAGGTCTCAGCCCGAAGAGCCTCCTTGTGCCACAACCCTGCACCGAACGAGGAAAAGTCGTGGAGGGGACCTGCCAGTGACAAAAGCGCAAATCCGAAACCCTTCGCTGAGGAGGCGTCCAAAGGGAGATGAGCCGAGATGAGTTGTGGCCATGTGCAGAATTAAAATCACCCCCGAAAGACAAAAACTTTAAAGGGCAATCTGAGGGCGATTGGATTTTGTCTGACCGGGTCTTTTTGATTGCGCCTGGACCCGAGACTCGAACGCGTCGAGAGTCGAGATCTGTCAAATGGATGACGTGCCAGTCGCCTGTTGTTAGGGACTTCGGAACTCTGGCGCATAGATACAAGACGGGGACAA